CCAAATCCAGCCCCAAATCACCAAAATCCAGCCCCAAATCACCAAAATCCAACCCCAAAACAGCCCCAAAACAGCCCCACCTCTCAAGGAAAGCCGTTCTGGTCTTTGACCACCTTCTCAGTCTAAACCTCCCCTGGTACGGCTTTGAACAATTCCCACAGGTCCTATTACTGGATAACAGGGAGAAGATCTCAGCACTTCCTTCTCCGCTTCCCCTCCTCAGGAAGCTGTAGAGAGCAATGGGGTCATCTCTCACAGCCTCTTCTCCAAACCTGATGAACCCAAACCTTCAGATGCTCCTCATAGGACATACCTTCCAGCACTTTCACCAGCTTTGTTGCCCTTCTTTGGACACATTCAAGCACATCTTTTTCAAATCGTGGGGCCCAGAACTGTGCACAGTACTCAAGGTGAGGCTGCACCAATGCTGAACAGAGTAGGATAATCACTCTTTTGACTAGCTGGTGATGCTGTGTTTGGTGGATCACAGGACAGGGTTTGCCCCCTTGGCTGCCTGGGCACGCTGCTGACTCACATGGAGCTGCTGCTGACTAGCACCCTCAGATCTCTCTCTGCAGGGCTGATCTACAGTCTCCCCATTTATACTTGTGCCCAGTGTCATAGTTATAGGCTACAACATTTCCACTAGTTAAATTTCATCCCATTAATCATAGCCCAATGCTCCAATCTGCCTTGATTTCTCTGAAAAAGCTCTTGTTCTTCAAGGGAGTCAACAGCACTTCCTATTTTTTTGTCACCAGCAAACTTGCTAATGGTGCATTCAACTCCTGCATCCAGACCCTTTGCACATATATTTACCAGAACTGGCCCTAGAACTGATTCCTGAGGAACACCACTGGTGACTGGTCACCAGCCAGACATAGCCTCATTCACCACAACCCTTTCAGCTCTGCTGTACATCCAGTTTGTCACCAAGCACAATGTGAACCCACTCATCCCACAGCTGGACAGCTCATCCATAAGGATGCTGTGAAGGCTGGTATCAAAAGCCACAGTAAAATCCAGAAAAACTTCATCCACCACCTTTCTTTCATCTACTGGGCAGGTGACCTAAAACTTCAAAGTTCGTATGTTCAGCTGTATAAATCAGTGGCTCACAAGCTAACTGGAATGATTTAGTATTCATATTTATTTTTTTCTGTTTATCAAAGTATAAAACCAATTTAGTTGCATGATCTGTCTTGTTGGGGTTTGGGTTATGGTGGTTTTGGGTGATTGGTTTTGGTTATTTGTTTTTTTTTTAGCTTAGCATGCTGCATTTTAAAACTTTAGTTAAGATTAGATGGGAGAATAGGATCAGAGCCTTGGGACATCAGTAAAAACAGTTGCAATTAATTAGCAGTCTTCCTTTGAAGGATTCTAAAAAGCACTGGATCTTAAATGTATAAAATCCCCTTTGAAGAGATGTTTTCCTGAAGATATTTTTCATGGAAATCAATATTCATAATTCAGAAAAGTGCCCTCTCTTATTCAAAGCACAGTGATTTGCTTTCTGATGCTAACTGGTCTCGTATCTTCTAAAGAAGAAAACAGTAGTTCATTAGTTTCAAAACCTAAATTTTGAAAGATGAATGTCTGGTTATATCAAAATAGCCTGAGAGATGGAAATTAAGACTCAAAAGTGTAAAAAAATAGACAAAAAACAAGGGGAAAAAAGATCTGAGAAAGCATATGATGGATGATACTTTTAAACCATCTGCATTCAAGGTGATAAATTGGGCAATGTCATTTCAAACAGAAGTAGTAAGCTCAATATTTTCAATAGAAACAGTATAAACAGGTTTGAAATCTCATCTTCACATTAGAAAATACAGCAAGAACCAAGAAATATTTCTTTGTCAGTCAATACAGAGCACTTAGAGATCAGTGGGCAAAAAATAAGTCATTTGTTCTATCTACCAAGAATGAATGTTTCATAATTTAACTTAAAATATTTCTTCTAGTAATGTTTTTGCAACAAAGACACAGACGCAGACACGCACACACACATGCCTGTGATTGTCCCTTAGCAAGCATACTCTTACCTAATACATACTGTCAGTCTTATATTTGACTCTGAAACCAGAAAACATAAAATCACAAGCCCTTTCAAAATGTCTAGGAATAAAAATCTTTATATATTAGCACGGAGAATACTTTCTTTTATTAGTAGTAATATGGACAAACACCTTAGATTTGCAAAGTCTAAACCAATATGGCAGCCATGATTTTCAAATTTGCCTAGCAAGAGTATCCTCTGAAATCATGTGTACACTCATTTATATGACAAATTATATATATATATATATATATATATATATATATATATATATATGCCTCTCTGCCATTCTGTTACAAATAAGCTACCAGAGGTAGAGGTGCCAGTATAGTGTATCATGATAAAACCTTGACCCTGTGGACGTCCTCTCCTCCGTGATGAAAAGCATCCAGTCCTACTGATATATTGAAAATTCCATATGTTGACTGTGTGAGTTGAGAGTAAGATACTGTGTCCTTGCTTGTGTGTGTCGTACCCTAAGAATAGTTGTTTATTGGATTTGCTGACTTAATAGTTGCCAGTTGTGAGCCTCAGATCTCTAACATATTAATGACTCTTTCTGTAGGGTTTGATCTGTGCAGAGCAGCCCACATAAATTTCTAGGTCCTAAGAATGGACTTATAATTAAATGCTTTTGTAGGTGTACACATTCACATTATGCAATTTGCAGTGAAATAAGGTAGTTAATTTAAAATGGCTATGCAGTTTGTTCCAATTACACTGAAAAATCATTCTCCTTTAATGAAAATATTTGGAAAATGTCAAATTGTGAGGAAAGCTGAGGCACAAAGGATATAGATTTAGCTAAACTGGGATAGAAAAACTAGTGGAAACTGTTTTGGTCAGAAACTCAGTGTGGCAATCTTGTTTCTGAAACAAACTAAACGCTAATAGCATTATGAGGGAAAAGCCTTACCTTAATCTGAAAAGATAAAGCTTTGCAAAGAGGTAGTGTGGTGACCTTCCTATACCTGATTATTCTAATCACTAGACAGGTTTGACTTATCAAATTAATAAATTGAAAATTAATTATTTAACCATTACCATAAAGGTGGGTAAGTCAGCCTATATATTCCCAGATCAAAGTGACAATCATCTCATATGAAATTTTCTTCAAAGAAGAAATTTGGTTTTCTAGTATGAGAAGTATTTTTTAAAAAAATACAAGACAGTAGGAAAAATTAGCAATGCATAAGATTAGCTTTATGATACTGTATTTTAAGCTTTTGTTTTCAGTCTCACTTTTTTGTACATAGGGAGATTAGAGATCTGCTTCTCTCCAGCCAAAATAATGACTGATGAAAATATTTTCATATCTGTAATTTTTTAAAAAGGGGGAATATACAATATTTGATGATGCTTTACACAGATTTATTGTAGGTTTTTCCCATTTTGTTAATTTGCACATCCTTAGATGTAAAAGATGTCAATTAAAAGCAAATAATTAAGAAAAATAATAGCATCTGCCAAGTATAGATTAGTGTAAAAATACATGCTTTGCTACTTAGAAGAGCAAGCTCGAGGATCTCTGTCAGTGTCTCCACAATTATGTAATTCTAAAAGCTCAGCTATTATAATTTTTCAGCTAAATTGCATGCATGTTGTAGGCAAATGATGAAGCTATCCTTTGAATCCACACTTCACGTGGATTTCTAGCAATTTAATTCAATTTAATTAATACTGCAAATAGGTTGTCAGAAGAAGATAGTTTTAGCTTCAATGTAATTTTTGGTGAATCAGTTATTTGTGTTATGTCAGTCATACAGTAGTTACTCAAGAAGATCTGCCCAAAGTCTTCAGGAAAGTGGCAGATGGAACTGCAGTTAATCTTGGTCTTCCAACCATAACCAGAAGTTATTTGTGATACCTTCAGTGACCTCTGATGACCTGTGCTCTTCCTTTCTTTCCAGTGAATTATTCATTGTTTCATCTCTGTTTAAAGCTTTCTCTTTCTTTTGATCACAGGCAATGGACTGGGAATCCGAGTTGTAGGTGGGAAAGAAATTCCAGGGAGCAGTGGGGAAATTGGAGCTTACATTGCCAAGATCTTGCCTGGGGGCAATGCAGAGCAGACGGGGAAGTTAATAGAAGGTAAGAGAGATGCATCATCAAAAAATGGAACGATGGGAGTGTTGGGAGTTTTCTATAATACAGACTTTCTTTTGCACAACCTATGCAATCTTATGCAAGGAATAAAGGCTGAACCTCCATGAGTCTTAAAGCAGAAAAGGACTGATAGAAAGTGATTTTATGACTTCTATAGCCAAAGGGAATTGCCATGATGAACAGTATTACATCATGTGTAACATGTGCCAACATGCTGCCTGCTTCTGGGATAGGGTAATATGTCTGGAGTCCAACTGTATATCATGGCTGTATTTCACCAGTGTATATCATGGATGTGCTCTTTTGAAGATCTTTAACCTGGTTTGGTCATCTAAGTGTCTATATCTGAGATTACTTACATTTCTTAGTTACACAGGTAAAATAGACAACAGATCCAGTTGTCTCACAGTTACACACACTAACTTATTTTTTTTAGTTCCCTAAAGTCATACTTAATTGAATTTGTCTGACCTAATGTTAGTCCAGTTTAAGATCATCATTCAAACAACCCCAACAGGCAACAGAGAGGAACTATCTACAGAAGAGCGATTATTTCATCTAACATAGCTGTGTGTTTCAAGAATTAAAACTTTCTTCCACATTTTATTTGCTTTAGGAAAACTACATTAAACTTCACATCATCTTTTAAGCAACTAAAGCCAGATGAAATGAATCTGACTTAGTTATCAATAAATTTTCCAGGATTATTGGAAATGTGATCATTCTGTCTATTAATTTATTTCTGTCTGTGAAGACATGAATGCTCCTTTCTTCTTATAGCCATTTTCTAGTTCACTGTTTCATATCTGTATGCATCTTAAATGTCAGTCTATCCATGGGAAAAAATATAATACATTTGTTTCTAATTCATTCAACTAATTATTTTTATTTCTTTAATAAAGACAGCTATTCAGAGAAAAATAAAAAAAGAAAGAATATAAGTAGGAAGAATAGTTCTCTCAGGCAGAATTCAATTCACATAGATTTTCTGAATGGTAAATATGCAACAAAAGTCATGATTAAATCAAAAATACTTTGCAGATAGAAAAACGTAGGAAATTGATTAAAGAATGTATTTACAAGGAATAGTTTAATTATGTTGTGGGTTTTACAAAACAGTGTCACCTGCATTCACCCTGTGGCTTTTTACATCCTTGGTGTTTTCTTTGCCAATATTTTAATGAGATACATAAAAAAAAGTTCACACGTCCCAATGTCAATGAAAATACATATCGACAGAAATATCTTGCTCTTTGGCCTATAGAGATGATTCTGCCATTCTTATTTAATGGGTATTATCTCACTCATCAAATGATAGAATGGTGTTATTTGTTGTGCACAAATGATGAAAGAATTGACCTTAATTTAGTGTGTTTTGAAGCAAGTATTTGTTTTGGCTCCCTCCATACAAAAAAGTAGGTCTTTCATAACAGTGCTAGATCATGCATGCAGTGTTTCAGTACCAAGCAAGTAAAGAGGAAAATGTGGTTATTCAACATTTCCCCAAGACTGGACATTTCAAGAAAGAGAATGAACAGTTACTGCTTCGAATTATCTGCAGTCTTGTGGTTTATGTTGTCAGGAATTTGTCTGGAAATTGAAGTTTAAAAAAGTTCTTCACTCACTGTATAGGTACATTTCAGCAGTGATCAAGAACATCTTGGTTTACAATAACTACTGACATAGAAATTTGCTTTTCAGTCTATTCATATAATGTATTTTGAAGGTTCATTCATATTTTATAGAAAGATGAATATGACGGTAAAAATATTTATTCCTTTGTTTCATTCTCCCATCATATGTTCAGTCATGTTTCTGATCTGAACTTTATAAAAGTATCCTAGACTTGGGTATGTTGGTATAAATCAACTCCATCAGAATCACTATATTTCATCTGTAGAATTTGTCCACACAATGTCTCGGAATATGTTTTAGTATTGATATGTCAAATGTTCTGCTAGAGAGAAAAAATGCTTCCTGCAGAATGTACCTTTACTATGACATACAAGACAAACACTTCCTCTTACTGTCATTTACCTTTAAGTATTGCCTCTACTTTACTTTTTGTTATTTTAGGTGGCTATCACAGATCAACAAAGAATATTTTGCTACTTCACTGTGAGTTGTAGTTGATTTAGTGAAAATATGGCTGGTGCCCATTTAACCTCTACCCTCCAGAAATGCTAAAATGCATTGAGATCTTCAATCATTCTCATATTGATCCGTGTAAATCCAGCCAGACTGCTGATCTCACCAACATTGCTGATATTGCGCCTGAAAATAGAGGCGCAATAGTCCTTCTTTTCTTTTTCAAGTGATTTGTTGTTTCTCACATCACAGACGGAATACATAAAGAAAACTTCTTATGTCTTTATCTCTAAATGCAATTACACATGAGATTTTTGTGTAGTAATCACGAGTCACTTTTCCTATTGAAAAGCTCTGTGACTACAAGTTAGAGTATACACCTAGTCATCAAGTAAGCATATACTAATGTAATTACAAGTTAATATCTTGACTCATTAGCCTTTCTAAGAACATGAGTCACTCTGAAAAATCCCATCAACTTAATTAATTCCTCTAATTCTAAAAACACTGGGTCAGGTCTGAAAATCCTATCAATAGCATAAGGAGCAAGGATGGATTTATTGTGGTTACGAAGGAAGCCAAACTCCTACCTGCTGTCTGTATCACTGCATATAAATAAACTACACACTTTAAAATACAGATAGCATTCCTATCCTTAGGGAATAGCAGTCCATAAAATTTCAACCTATTTAGATAGTTTTGGAGGAGTCTTAGTGCTGAAAAAGTTTATTTATAGTTCTGACTGGCAAATACCAGTCTTCTTGGTTCTCTCACCTTGAATTGCTTTAGGATGTCAAAAATATCTCTGATTCATCACTCACTGGCATAACAAAAACTGGAGGTGGAAGACTCATTCCACTGAGCTCATCAAGTGCAAGGACTGTGTCAATTTGATAGATGTGTCTGTGCTCCCTCTCGTGTTGACAGAAACAGTTCAGTTATATTCCACCTGGTGAATCTACTGAGTGAATGGCATTTCAGCCAGCATTTTTCAGAAACAGAAGAACCTAGAGTAAAGAGCAGAAATAAAACGTTAATGTGTGTGACCAACTGTTAAAAATTTGCTGGATGCTCTCAGCATTCCAGTTTTCTTATTGGACCATTTCAATAGGCTGAGTGGAGTGCCTGGGAACTGATGAACCACAGGTGTCTTTGTTCTGAATTTTCAATCAGCCAGACAAACTATGTTGCAATGGTTAGGCCATCTGATGTTGACCAAGATGAAGATATTCCCTGACTTTTCAGTCTCCTAGCAATTCTGGGAAACTTGCATGATTACCATGGTTTGAGAGCCTCAAAATCCAATTCCCTAGTCTAAGCCCCCTCTCACATCTCAACCCAATGTGAGATGGGTTTTTCCAGACAACCACATGAGACTCAAATTGAGGGAAAGGGAATATATTACAATGACTGTACAAATAAATACTAACATACATTATATACAATCTTAATTATCTCTACTATGACATAGTGTTTACAATGGATCAAATCTCTTCTCCCTTCCAAATAAAAGTCCAGGAAGGAAGAAGGAAAGATCCCTTCTTCAGAGCAGCAATGTCTCTAAAGCAGCAGGTTTATCTGTTTCGCTCTTCTTCTCATGCAGCAGCTGGATCTTTGCCAGTACACACGAGGGGTATCCAAGCCCCTCGTCCACCCGTCTCCAAACGAGGGTCTTCCTTTGTGGGCTGCGTAGCAGGGTCAAAACTCACTTCACCACGGTCATATCACGAAGTGCAGGGTCATCTTCGTGAAAGTCCCTTCCTCAGGGGGTTCACTCCTGAGTCAGAACATCTTGGGCAGCTTTCAGTTGAAAGCCTTTGCCTCAAGAGTTCTACCAGAGCTCCTGTGCTCTGTCTCAGGCTGCTAGGCTTGGCAGCAGCAGCGAGGGGGGGGCAAGGTCACCCCCTCTGCATTCCTTCTCCCTCTCAGTCTAGCTTTCCAGGATGCTTTGAGCTTTTCAGCTCTTCTCTTTGGTGCATGTTGCACTCTACGACTCCTCTCAAGCCAGAGTCCATCTCCCTCCTTTCTCGGAGGTCTCAGAGGTGTATAGGGTTTTATTTCAGTTCTTACTCCAACTTCCTCTCGGTAGAGCCTAATTTTCTCTCTCTGCTGCTCTCTCTCTGCTGCTCTCTCTCTCTCTCTCTCCCTCTCTCTCTCTCTCTCTCTCTCTCGGCTCTCTCAGACAACTCTGTGCCTTCCTTGACCGCATGCTGTTGCTTTCTTATCTTTTGGCTCTTAGCCACAGTCTCTGGATGCTGCTTCTGCCACTGCTCTGTCTCTGCACACTCATGGTGGAGAAAACTTTGTTAGCTTTCAGCCACAGATACTCAGCCCAGCATTACGCTGTTCCAAGTCCCTGCAGCCCCCATCCGGGGACTGGGGGGGTCCAGCCCCCAGTGGGGCTGCTGCTGTTCCTCCTCATGGCTCCTACAACATGGCTACTTCTACTACAAAACTACAACTAAGCTTCTCTTCCGTTTGCTTGTGATATGTTTATATTTTGCAGAAGCGCTCATTGGATAAAACCTCAAAACTTCAAGGGTCACCACCCCCTGGGGTTTTACCATTTTATAACTTCAGGGGGGGAAACTGTTTCCCCCCACCAAAATGATCTAAAAGGTAATGGTGATCCTGATTTGTGGTGATCTTACTGCCTTTGCTGACACTCCACTCAACAGCAACCCTGACACTGGTCAGATTTTTGCTAACTTGCCTGTGTGCGTGTTTATTTTTAAAATGTATGCCTCATTTAAATATCTTCACAGGCTTAAAAACAGGAAAATCATATATAGTGAAGAGAAAAACTCTCATTATTAAAAATGTTGAAATAGCACTCTCAGTTTCTCTTTTACAGCAAATATAATAATACAGTAGTTCTAACATAACTTGGAAGAATG